AGGATTCATTTTGTCAAGGACTTTCTTTTTCTTGATTCCACAATCAATATTCTTGGAAAAAGTGGTCAAGAAACCAGTATCATTTTGCAGTAAGAAAATCTTTTGCAAAAGAGACTTCTTTAAGGTGTTGAAAAGGCAAAGATGACATTTTAAGGCCTGAGGTGCATCTGGCCAAAGCTAGGGTGTTTCCAGTCCTCTCCTGTGCATACAGAAGCTAAACAGTGAAGCTACACTGTCAGCTCAAAGGTACCTGGTTCAAATTCACCAAGAGCTCCACAGGTGAAAGATGGGCAGTCTCCTCCAGTGTGATTACTGCCTCTGAAAACCCGCTGCTGGGTCATCTATGTGTCATTTCTGATTCGATGGCACATAACAACAACAACAAAGAAGAAGCAATGCATTTGGCTGATGGTGTTAATGAAAAACATTAAATATATCCTAAATTGCCAAAAGAATATATGTGCCTTAGAAATACAGTAGGATGCTCCTTGGAAGAAGGATCTCGACACTTCCTGTCATGCACTTAGGGCATGTTATCAGGAGGGAGTAGTTCCTAGGGAAGAGTAGAGCGATGTTTGATAAAGTAGAGAGTGTGTGGAAAAGAGGAAGACCGTCAATGAGCTGAGTAGACACAGTGGTTACAATAATGAGCTCAAACAGAATGGCTGTGAGGATTTCACAGGCATTTCAGGCACTGTTTCCTTGGGTTGCCCATGGGTTCATAGCCAACTCAATGGCACCTAAGGGCAATTTGGAAGGGCCTTGGTGGTACATTTACCTGGTGGTTAAAGTATACATTTGATAACAGAAAAGTCACCAGTTAATCTGTAAGGAGAAAGGTGTGACAGTCAGCTTTCCTTGAAGTTTGAGGCTCAGAAACCCTCCAGGGCAGCTATAACTGCTTTATGTCAGGTGAGTAGGGATTGTCTCGAGGCCAGTGCCATTGGTTTTGTTATGATGGAAATAGATTATGCTATAATTAGAGTTTTAAAACTCACCTAACTTAAGATGTCAGGTTTTCTATGTTGTTTATAGGGATTTCTGTGAAGAATTGTAGATGAGAAAGGGCCTCAGAATAGCCACCACAAAGTGTACCACTTTCGTTTCAAATGGATCATTTGCAAATGTAAAAAAAAAAAATAAAAAGAAAATCCCATAATATTGAAAACATACTGCCCACACAACGTTAAGTTTACATATTTTGAATTCCTGAAAAATTCCTAGGGAGACATTCCATGCATTTTGGTGTTCCAAAATCAAATTTCCTCTTATTTTTCTAAAATGTGAAAAAAAATTCAAATATCTCAACAGTCAAATTTTATGCTTGCTTCTTCTAAAATACAGTATGGTATCATAAAATTATTGGACTAGCCCCTGCATTTGGTACTGGACATATTGTAGTGAACAAAGTAGACTGTTAGGTCTCAGTTCCCTTGGTACATAAACTATGTAATGGACAATCTTGTTAATGATTGTATACATTCTTAGCCTCACACAAATACACAAATGGCCTAAGAAGAAGAAAGAGTACTCAAATCATCATCACCACCATTGGCTCTATCACTGACACTTACTGGGTGTCAAATAGTGTTCTCATAACTTTTTAAACTCTCTCACTTGGTCCTTGAAACAGCCTTGTTCCATTTTACACCTGAGAAAACTGGAGCACCTGATCTTAAGTTTGCACAATAAAAAACGTAGAAAAGTTGGAACTGACTGGAAGACAGTCAGTTATCACGTGCTCTTACTGTTTGCACTATACTAACAGAATTTCCCTTTTGCCGTCCAAGGTTCTCTTTAGCAACCTTGCCAAGTTGATTAAGTCAATTAAATTCATTCTATGACATTTAAGTTAGGAAACAAAAAGACTACTTACCATCTGCCACAGCTATCACCTTGTCCATGCTGTGTGGGAGAGAATTCAAGCATTTGTGTAGACCCCACACAACTCTGACATGAACTATATTTCCAATAAATTTGTGTGTTTGACTTGATAGGTCAGCAGCCTGTGCTGGGGGAGAAAACTGGGCAATCTCCTTTCATGTGTTTTATAGCTTCAGGAACTGAAACCATCTGCAGGGTCAGCTAGGAGTAGGTTCTGACTCAACAACACACAGTAACAGAAACAATCATGATGTCTGTTGGTCCAGTGCTCAAATGTTTATCTGTCTCACTATATGTTATTCTAGTTTAAAAAAAATCACAAAAATTTGTAATAGTACTAATAAATGTATTACCCATTTTAAGGTCTCAGAAGAAAAGAGGCCTTTGTAGTAATATTTTCCTTTAGTTGGTCTCTGACTTTATGGACATGGATAAATGGTAAAAATAATCAAGATGAGATTTGCTAAAGGTTTAAATGGCACTCAAAGTAGTTGTTTTAAATGTTTATATTTGTGGTGAATAAGTCATTTAATGTACAAAATTCAGTAGTTCATTCCCCAGCCTCTTTTCTGTCACCAGGTCTGTATTTTCTAGCTACCATTCCTTCTTCATTATTTCCAACTTTTACATTCTAGTCACCAGCTATTATCAATGCATCTTATTGTACGTTTGGTTACTTTTGGACTGCAAAAGTTGATAGAAATCCTCAATTTCTTCTTCTTTGACTTTAACTGTTGGTGCATACATAAATCCTCAATTTCTTCTTTGACTTTAGCTGTTGGTGCATACATTTGATTAATAGTCGTATTAACATATCTTCCTTGTATGCATATGGGTAGTATCTCGTTACTCGCAGCATTTTACTTCAGGACATCTTGAAATGTCTTTATGATTATTCATCCACAACACTATTCGTCCTCATCTTTTTCGCCTTGGGGTAGTAAATCATATAATTATCTGATTCAGAGTAGTCAGTGCTAGTTAATCTCAGCTCACTAATGCCTACTATGTCAATCTTTATGCATTCCGTTTAGTTTTTTACAATGTTCAATTTTTCAAGAGTCATGCTTCATACAACTCACATTCTAATCTTTACTGGATCTTTGCAGCTGTTCATCTTCATTTTTTGTGTCTCTAGTGTCTCATGTGTCTTCTAATCTGAGTTAACTACCTAATCTGAGGTATACATAATGCTATGTATACCTGTCTAACTGTAACTGAAATTTTTGTTGTTTTTTATGGGTTTGGGGTATTTTTTTATGTTTACTTCTTTCTGACTTTAAAAAAATTTTTTTTATTAACTTTAATGAACATTTACAGATATTTTGGATTTCCATTCATTCATTGTTGCACTTTTCTCCCTGCCCAGCCCTACCCCCTAGTTTGCTCCTCTCTTTGAAAAGTAAAAGAAAAATTCTTTCATTGGTATACAATCCCCCTGCCTACCCCCTGCCCCAAGTACACTCCACTATGCAACCTTAATTCTGGACTCTTGTGATAACCATAATACCCTATCATATATTGCTTTTTATAGGCCTGTTATTTCTGAAGTGGCTGGCCAATCCTGCTTCCCAGTCTGTCTTAATCTGAGAGCTCTGCTTTAGTATAGCATCTAGCATATAAGCACTGTCTGTACCTGTAAAGGGAGAGGATAAATAAGCAAACATTTACATATCTAAGCTATTAAGAGCAACAACATGGAAATCATTCTCCCAATGCAAGAAACTGACAAATCATTATTTCCCTCAGAGCAAACCCTAAGGAAAAAATAAACACACAGATATTTTGATGTTATGATGCAGGAGCCCCCTCAGTGAGGTGTCCATGCAAGGTCCTGAGTGCCTCAGGACTGCACTAGCAGGCAAGCATCAGTCTCCATGGGCAAGGAGGGTTGTGAGTCAAGGCACAGCCTTGGCACGGGCAGGCATAGATCTCCCTGGGGGAGGCAGCAGTGAGTAGGGCAAGACCCTTGAGGGGGAGTATGTTTGTGTCTTTGTTTGAAAAAGATTAAAAGAAGAAAAGGAGTGAAGTAAATGACTTTTTTATTATTAGAAGAAGTGAAAATTTAAAAGAAAACAAAATAGATGGGAAGAATCACAAAGTCCCCTGAGTTCTCTGATGTACTTTACCTGTCCGAGACCTGGATTGCAAGTTGTATCACCTGAAATTTAAGTGCTAATGTGGACGAGGTGCTGAGGTAGAGCTCTTTTTTGGCCTGATTTAAAAATAGCCCCTCATTCATTGGCAATGAGGACTTGACTCCTAACCTACCCGACCCTCTAGTGGGTTTCTGAGACTGTAAATCACACAAGGAAATTGCCCATCTTTCTCCCTCAGAGCTTCAAAGGATTAGACAAGAACCAGAAAAAGCTTCAAGTGATATAATACAAAGGTTTGGATAGTTCAGAATCATTTGAATAATTTTCTCATAAATGTATAATACTGTCTTTTCCTCTATCAACTCTTCTTATATACAGTAATGGGGTAAAGAGTAGATTTCAGAGCATTCATTCAGAATGATGTTCTTGTTGTTGAGTACCATCAAGTTGGAACTGACCCATCGCTGTCCTTCCAGCAGGTTTTCAGAGGTTATTAATCACACAGGAAGAGATTGCCCATCTTTCTCCCATGGAGCGGCTGGTGGATTTGAATGGCGTGCCTTCATGATTGCAGTAGTTTCTTACCACTAGGCCACAAAAGCTCCCTTCATTCAGAATACAAATGCAAAATTAAATAGCTCTGGTGGCCTCAGCTAACCCAAAAGCCCTCTGCAGGAGAAAGATGAGCAGTCTCCTCTTGTGTGATTTACAGCCTCTGAAAACTCTGTGGAGGGTCAGCTATGAGTCAATTCCAACTTGACAGCAATGAGTGAGGGGGAGCATGAGTGGGTGAATGGGTGACTTTGTATTAGATTTCGGCTATATATTTGAAGTAAAAATTTCCATTTTGTTCATATACATTACAAGAGGGATGACTCATAATCTGTCTCAATTTATGACTTAAGGAGTGTTTTTTGGTGTTATAGACTTGACTTTTTATTGCTTGAAAAAGAACTGATATTTTTATTTCAGGTTAATTTCCCTTTATGGTTTTAATTGTAGAATTAAAAGCAAGAAATGCCTCAGTCTCCAAGCAAAGGAGTGATACTTGGCATCATGGTGGGAGCTGCAGGAATCAGCCTGCTTCTTTTGTGGTACCACAAGGCCCGTAAACCCCGGATGGCAATGGATTTACCTACACTGCTTTCCCTGGGTAGATTTAATGCAGTGACTTTGCAAGATGAAATGCATAATGAACAAGGGACAGCAATGGTCTTCCAAGGAAGGCAACTTCAGGTGCTGGAGAAGCTAAATGAGTTACTAACAAATATGGAAGAACTCAAAAAGGAAATCAGGTTTGTTAAGGTTGCTATTTCAGAGCTGGAAGAATGTGTACACGGTGAACTTGAGGGGAATGTGACTGTTCACCGGGTAAGCCCTCAGCATAGAGCTAAGAAAAGAAGGCTCACCACAGTTCAAAGCTCAGCAACGAGTAATAGCTCAGAGGAAGCAGAAAGTGAAGGAGGGTAAGTTTCCTTAAGATACTTCTCATGTGGAATTGATTATTGTGGTGGTGTTATGATTTAAGTATTTTCATTATATGTTTTGTGTCTTATACTCTGCTATGAACAAGACACAGAAGGGAGTTGCTATTTTGGATTAGATTATAATTAAAATTGCCTCCCAGTCATTAATCTTTTGAGATTGTTTAGACCACACTGACAAGAGAAGTATAAATAGCATAACCACATAGCAATGTGTGAGTATTGAGGAGGACAGTCGCCGTTTGCGAAGACATGTAACAAACTTTTTTACGTGGCCATTGTGTGATGCACTCTGTGTAAGAACTTTCCAGATGCACTCTTTCAGTAATGGAAAGGTTCTGGCTGTGCTCTTCAGTAGGATTGCCACTGCAGATGAGGAACTGAATATTTTATTTTAATTAAGAAAAATTTCTTCTATTTTTTATTTTATTTTATTATTTTATTTTATTATTTTTGTGTGTGTACCGTCAAATCAGATCTGACTGGTACAGGAGGAGATTGTCCCTCCTTCCCCGGCAGAGCATCTGGTGGATTAGAACCGTGCGCCTCTGGGATTGTAGTTGCAGCTCCTTACCACTAGGCCACCAGAGCTCCCCTTAATTAAGAAAAATTTAAGTAGCCACATGAGCTAATTTCTACTGAGTTGGATGTGCAGGAGCAAATACATTAGAGGATATAGAAATGGTTCAAATGGTTCAGTGTCATTCTTGGATTGAGTAATCAGTTGGAATCAAACACCAAGAGCATACATAATAGTCTCTTATAGGGAAAAAGCCAAATAATTTGTTAACTGCCCTAGATTGTTCAGATTTATTTGTTTTAATATTCAACGAAAGAATTTATTAGAGAGAGATAACTATTTGAGAGCAGGAGGATATGCAGACATAGAGCAATGTGCGCATGTCTCTTCCAATAAAAGAGGAAGTAACTCTCTTCCAAAAAAAAAGGAAGAAGTGAGTCATCAGAAGTTGTACTGTCAATCCTAAGGCACACAGTGTGGATCCATCAGCTGCTCCGAGGGGGATAGATGGGCAATCTCCTCCTGCGTGATTTAAAGCCTCTGAAAGCCCAAGACAGGGTCAGCTATGATTCTGTTGCTACTCAAAGGTACACAACAACTGAGTGGGAGGAAGGGCATTATGTTGGTTCATGATAGAGGATGGGGATTTTAAGAGTTAATCTATTAATGGGAAAAGATCATGATATTTATTCAATAGAAGAGGAGAGGATTTGGGGGACTGGCCTTTAAGAGAGGGATTAGGATAACTGAACATATGCACAGTCTTCTGCCAGGACAGTTGCTCTGGGGAGTACTTTCCTGGTCCTGTAGTGATGCCTGTTAAGGATGGGAACCAGATTGTTGCTTCTGTGATGAGTGGAAGAAATAAGTAAAGGTAGTTGTGTTTCAAGCCTAGCAGTTGGCCTCAGTTGAACAGATTGTAGCCTAGAAAGCTCTGAGACAGTTCTACTTAATAACAGATGGGACTGTGTCAGGTGCTAAACAGAGTAGACTCTGGTCTACTCTGAAATGCTCAAGAGTAAATGTGTCTCAGAAATTAGACATATCTGTTGGAATTGTTTCATCAGTGTATTCTTGCCTTAGGTGTCAGGTGTCTATGATATTCTCAGGTGGTATAAACTGCACTGATTATTTGAAATGAAAAAAAGAAATCTCACAAATATATTCTGTCTATCGTTATCTTTGTGTTTTCAGTGTAACACAAAACCTAGTACCTTAGATGGTGTAAAAAAATAAAAGAATAGAAAATGGTGATAAGAGGAAGACTATGAGAATAAACAGGTATATCTTAGAGAGGGTGAAGCCAAGTTGCTCCTTGGAGATGAGGATTTTGAAGCTCTGTCTGAAAGGTTTTGGTCATGTTTCCAGGAGGAACCAGTCTTTGGAGAAGGACATCATTCTTGGAAGGGTGGAGAGACAGTGCAGGAGAGGAAGACTCTGGAGGAGATGGATTGACACAGGAACGTGGGTAACGGGAGTAGGTGTGTCAGAGACAATTGGCACAGGATAGGGCAGGGTTCAAAACTTTTGTGCATAGTTGCTACAGGTTGACAGTGAACTCTATAACACATAACAACAACAGCAGCAGCAGACAAATTCAGGCTTTTACAGTTTTGCTTAAACTGCTAACTTAACTTTCATTTCCAGGAGCCAAGATACAGATTTTGCTTTTTGCTAATTTACATATTTTTCTTGTTACCACCGGTTACTTTTGTCAGGTCAGGTTTCATGTTTTGAAACTTAGTGTTTTCAAGGCTTTAAGATGAATGAAGAGTCAAATATTCATTATGTGGTGATTTTATATTCCTTAATAACACAGTGGCTGCTGCAATGAGGTCAAGTATATCAGAGTTGATGCGATGGCACAGAGCTCGAATGTGTTGATAGGGTTCTAATGAGTTACCCTTGACTCAGAATCTCCCAACAATGGCAGTGTTGTAGGCAGGGAGCTCAGTGGCTTAGTCCTTGAGGGGTTGCTCCGCTAACTTAAGGTAATGACTCTGGTGATTTGAACCTCTCCAACTCCTCTGAGAGATAAGTCTCCTACCTTGTTTTTACAATCTCAGGAAATCTCCTGGGCAGTTGGCTGTGACTTGGTTCTAACTCAGTGGCACTGAGTAAGTGAATGTTGTAATGGTACATATTTGCAAAAAAGGAAAAGAAAATCTTACACATATATTTGAACTTTCTTTTGTACTCTCTTATTTCCAAGTAACCATTCTCCTGAACTTTATTCCTCCCTTCGAATTTTAGAGCGTCCCCCCCCCCGCTTATGTATATCAATATAATCAACACAAAAATATTCTTTCTTCTTAAACATTCTATAAATGGCATCACTTGGTGCCTCACTCAGTTAGTAGAGGGTGATAGCACCCGAAGGTAGCATCTAGCTTATTAATCATGCCAGACACACAGAGAAGAAACCAGAAGGCCAGAGAAGTAATTTTCAAAAGAAAAAACAAAAGCAGCTTCAGTCACCAAAAAAGATAGAATGATCTATTAAAAACAAAATGGATTTTGCTTTTGTATTTTCTCTGTAATGCTCAGCCATTTTACTTAAGATTTAAAAAAAAAAAATGGAAAAGGAAAGTTTGAGAGTAGTTGCTTTCTTAGTTGAAAACAGTTATGAGAATGAGCTGGTGGTGGAGAGATTGGCCTGTCAGAGTGGGTCCCTGTAGGAGGGCCAAGAAGGCAATGGCCTCCTCACTGCCCAGCAGACAGCAGCAGGCTCCTTAGATGAAACTGAAAACTTCAGTGAAGATGGACACATATCCCCAAGGCCTGAGCGGGCATCACTGGGATTGGAGCCTTCAGAAGGGCCTTGACAAGTGGCCTCACTCTTGAATTTGCCTCAAATTCACAAAATCAGTTGCCTGCCCTTGTATCTTGGAGGATGGAGAGTGGAGGGATGTGGGGATGAGATTAAAGGGGTTTTACTTGTATTCTAGAATTAGCAGATATATTCCTTCTGATTATTCAGGAAAATTATATATATAAATGGCATTTTATTGCACATAATTTTTGTACCTTTCTTTTTGAACTAAAAGTGGTTTGAGAATTATTTTTTTACCACATTTTATTTGCTGTGCTGTATTTCATTGAATGAATACAGTTTCTTTCTATACTGATAGATGTTTAAGGTATTTTCCCCCTCTAATAAAACTGTTCTTTATAGAATATATTTCCTCATAATTCTTTAAATTAATGTGTAAGGATTTCTTTCATTTTAAATTATCTTATGAGTGAGAGTTAACAAAGAAATTAGTTTTCTATTCACTCATTAATACAGAATTATCCCTAAATGGTGGTGGTAAGAGTTTATTGTTCAAAATAGCTTTCCAAGCCAATGACTTTCACTTTCTGTGTAGAGACAAAATCTAGTCATTCTATTTCCAGCCTAATATCTGTCATCAAGTACATACTTTCCAACTACTATTCCTTTTCACTGTTTCCTACTTTTACATTCCAGTCACCAGTTATCATTAACACATCTTGAATGCATGTTCAGTCAATTTCGCCCTGCAAACTTTGGTAAAAATTCTAAGTTACTTCCTTTTTGGCTCTAGATATAATAATAGTGCATTAAATCTAGATTTAATAATAGTCACTTTAATAGGTCTTCTTTCTGTGTGTATGGATATTATTCTATTTCATACAACATTGTATTTCAGCATAGAACTTGAAACTGAGTTTTTGACTCTGAATGCAACACCATTCTTCCTCTGTTTTTAATTCCCTGCATAGTATGCCATATGATTATCTGATTCAAAGTGGCCAAAGCTGGTCCATTTCATCTCACTAATGTCCAGTATGTTAATATTCATGTGTTCCATTTCATGTTTAACAATTTCCAGTTTCCCAACATTCAGGCTATGTACATTCTATGTTACAGTTGTTAAATGATGTTTGTTATTGTTTTTCCTCATTTCAACCAACTTCCAATCTGGGCTCTACCACTACACTACCTACCATAACTATCCTCTTTGTTTAGAGTTCATAGTGTTTTCAAAGACCTGTTATTTAGGACTTAGATGGCCCATCCTCCTTCCTAGTCCTTCTTAATCAGGGAGCTCCACCAAAACCTGTCCTCCCTGGGTAACCCTTATGGCATTTGATACACCAGGGCACAGATTTCAGTATCACTGCAACCCCTAGTTACCTCGGTACAGCAAACTGACAGAAAAGAGCTGTACCATTTAGAACAGCATTCTCCCTGAACACAGTTAACATCCAGTTTGTACCAAGCTTTCAAGTAAATTAAAAAAAAAACCAAAAAACACTTGACCTCCAGAATCCAACTGCTCCAAGATGGAGACTCAATCATTCTCATTAATTATGTTTTTAAAAAATTAATCACCATTGGACTATGCCCAATCAGTACCCTGTCTTTTCAGGTCCCTACCAGATCTTTCCCATTTCCTTTAACACCACCAACACCACCAAATTGTGCAACCCTTACCAT